AAGATGGGGTACTCAGGTGTGGGGGAATCATGGAGTACCCTAAGTGTACACATTGTGTTTCTTCCTCTCCTCTCCACTGAGGATGTGCTAAGAAACCATCCTCTATGGGCTGTTCAGTCTCACACACCTCAGAACCCAGTGAGACTTTTCCAGAAGCGAATTCTTACTCAATAAGACCCGCACACATTGGCTTCTTAGCCCAAACTTCAGATGGATGAATGGAAACAGGGAAGTGCAAGGGATTAAGAGCAATGGAAAGTGGCCAAAGGTGCCTAAGTGAAGACTGGCGTCTCTAACCTCGCCTTCTCTGTTTCTAGGTCTGGGCTTGGTCAGCATCTTAGTCCATTTTGATTGCTGTCACTGAACACGGTAGCATGGGGGATGTATGGAGAGCAGATCGAGAGGCAACTCCCCACTCTGGATGCAGGAGAGCCAGGCCTTCGCCTCTGGTGCCTGGCAAGGACAGTCCTGCAGAGGGCAGCCTGCAGTGACAGGGACATGGTCCAGGGTGCTGGTAGCCCAGCACAGCCTGCTGGGGAGTAGACAGCTCATCCACCAGGACTGCCCAGCCCATTCCCCTCATCTGCTCCCCACCCACCAGGCCCACCCTGGACAGGCTGCCCTGGGGACCAGGCTTCTAAAACTCCAACTCTGCAGGACACTTCCAAACCATAGCAGCCAGACTTCTACCCACTTCCAGGATGGCAGCTGCTGGTTAGATTCCAGCCTAGCAGGCAGAGTCCACACTGCTGAAGGTATTCCTATCTTGAGAAACGTCTCAATCATGATGAGCCCCGAAGAATTCTCTCCATCTACTGGATCACTGAAAGCACAAAGAGACCTCCAGTTACATTTGCCCAGCAACAACAGACTCGCTCTGCGTGTCTGTCATGATGATAAATGAGGGGGCTCCCTGGATTTTCCTGTAGGCTGCCTCACACATCAGCTTTGGGGTCAGAAGTCTTTCCTCCTGTGTGGGTCACAACAGTGCTTGGAGTATGGTGTGGCGGGGCACAGCTGTGGGTCCCTTTAAATGGCAGAATTGGATTCAAACTGGATTTTTAAATCACTTCCTAAAGAAGCAAAAAGTGTCTTATTCCAGCATCCTGATTTTAGGAGAGGGGAAAATGAGGCACTGAAGAATGTGCTGGCTGAATCTCTGAGAATGGGATATTTAACTCAAAGGTAGAGGGCTGGGAGCGTGTCTTAGTAAAAGTAGCACCCTTCCCTACCACCTCCAGAAAGCACCCTTTCACAAAGGAAAGCACGTTTGACGACATGAAACAAGCACTTCCGGCTGGAGAGAAGACAGGAAAAGCATTTAAACTCATGCACATCGATAAAATATTCACACTGCCGCATGTGCCCGCACAGGGCTGCTTGCTACAAAACAGGTCCCAGTTTTACTGAGGACTTTCTCTCCTCCGACAAAACCAAGCGGATGCAGAGACAGCACCACCGTGTCATCAAGGAATCAGGTCTGCGTAATACGGGTGCGAACTACTTTTAGGCCAAAAGTTGGAACTGAAACATCAGAATACATCTAAGGATTAGTGGTTGTGTAATAGAGATTTCAGAGCAGGGAGAGCTGAAGATAGGACTATCGCGCAAATGTGCAAAGGATGGTGTGGCCCAGAGGTATCTAAATGTCCCTGCTCCAAAATACGAAATGCTACCAAATCTGCAACTTCGGAAGGGCTGACAAACCACAGTGGAAAATTCCAGTCCTGACCTCATGTGACAGGTCACTGTCCAGACACGGGCACCCACTGTAAAAACGCTTTGCAAAATTATAGGCTCTGTGTAGGAGACATGCAGGAGGACCCTGGAAAGCTGTGTGGCGACCAGTATTCCCTTCCTGAAGACATCGCACTATGTTCGTGCAAATGTCTCGACGTCTGCACAGTGGGAAATCCGAAGCACTTCTGTCCCCTGTTCCCCTGCGTTTTGGGCAAAGATCTTGAAGCTGTGGTATCCAAGGGTGGAGCCTTCCCTGGTCCCCGCCTGTGCTGCATCTGTGCCTGGAGCTTGGGGAGGAGCGCGCCTCCTGGGGAGAGCGCTGGCGCCCCGCCGTGGCCTAGGGCGGCACTGCAGCTCACCTCTGCGTCTGCGCATTTTTGCACAGGGTCCGCTGCGGTGCAGGGTCTTCCGGGGCTCCTTTTTCAGAAGCTCCTGGGGGAGGGGCGGAAAGCACAGCCAGCGACCCTCCCTGAGCTCCCAGCTCGGTGCTGCTGGAGACACGAAGGTCACCTTGACCTCCTGAAAGGCTCCTATGGCAACAGGAGAACTTAAACCCAGGCTTGTGTTAGGGCACAGACGGTCCCAGGCCTGCGAGGAACCCATTTTTATTTTTCAGATGTTCGCCCTCTTACATCGGTTCCGCTTTACTTTCCTAGCTTCTTTCCCTCGCACCCAGAAAGAATTCCAAGTCCTCCTGAGCATGTTAAGGGTGCCGGGGTGCTCACCGCCCGGCTCAGCAGCTGTGCGATGCAGGATTGACTCCTCACCAAGGGCTTTCCTAGAAGTCTTGATGTCTTGACAGGGGACTCATCTCGCAGCCATGTCGGTCCGGGGTTCGCAGGCTCCAGCCAGCCCTTCAGTGCCGGGTTTGAGCGTTAGTCTCAAACCAGATAACTATTACTCTTGCCAGTGTTTAGGAATTCTGTCAGGCAGCTGGATTCTCACATCTCTGGGTTAGGAACAGAAAAAGAAAGCCGTGAAATCTCAAAATAGGAACCAGGGATCAGTGAACGGAAATAGTTCATGTGACACTTGAGAGGTTTCCTGTGTGTCCCCCACCTGAGCCAAGCAGGAGGAAAAGGCCCAGGGTCCCCACCGCAAGGCAGGAGAAGAACCAGTTTCAGGGCAGCGGACTCATGGTGTTCTGGGCACTGCGACCGGAGCTGAGGGGAAAGGAGCGAGTCCGATGGTTCACCAGTCTAATCACGTCCACGGAGCTTTGTCATGGGAGGAAAGTAAGATGATCAGGTGCTGAGAAGAAAATTTCTAAGACATGTCCATGGGGACTCCAGGTTAGCGGGGCAAATGCCAGGGAATCTTTCCTGGTTCAGCAGCCTTTGAGTGGATCAGTACTTGCAAGAGGAGTTTGCAAAGCAGAGGGTGGGGATGAGACAGAGGTAGGATGTACAAAGGTCCTGAGGTAGGCAGGAGAAAGACTGGAACAGGGGAAGAAGAGTTCACAGGGCATGGGGTAGGGAGGGAAGGATGGATCATGGCAGGGAAAGGCAGAAACTGAATCAGGTAGGTCATTGTGGGGTTTTGGTCATTCGAATGGCACAGAAGAACCACTAAAGGATTTTAAATTTGGAGGAGCAGGATTCGATTCCTGCCTCAGACCATGCATAGGTTCAGGTCTTGCATAGGTTCTCCTCCCTGGTCACCTGGCTCCCTCTGCCTTCTAGAGGTCACCCCCCCCCCAAGCCCCAGAGCACCATTCCCTGGGTACCGAGCCTTGGCTATATAAGTCTTTGGAGGATGGTTCAGATTCAAAACAGATTATTTTTAAAACTAAATCCTTTCTCTTCTACTTGCAAGATGAAAAGGGCATTTTACCCATGGAGGAAGCAGTCTGTATGCTCTCATGGCGGGAGCATGGCTGTGTCAGTCTCGGTGTCCCGAGGGTCTGAGATCACTCCAGTTCCTGGGGGCCACTGTGATGCTCAATGGAGCAAAGACCTCACCCCATGCTGCCACACAGAGCTGCCCTGAGAAGGGAGGAAGTTTCCCGTCACAGTCTCTGAGCCCAAGGGCCCCCAAGGGTCCCACAGGCACATGTTTTTAATAAAAATTCCCTGGGAAAAGAGGAGAGAGGGCAAACCCTCCTGGCGTACACTGAACTCAGAGGTGACAGAGCTTTATTTCCTTCCATTCTGATGGCACAGGTTTTGGGAATCAAACTCACAACCTCGTGCTTGCCAGGCAGGTGCTGTGCTCCACCAGTTTCCTTCTTGCTAGGGCTTCGACAGACTCCACAGTGAACGTGCAGCTGCTGGGTGTTCACGGAATAAGACCCGGAAAGGCTGGGGAAGGAGGGTGTTATTTCACCAACACCAAAGGAGAAATGGTTGTAGCAGGTTGCAGGGCAGCTCTTCGGCTTGGGGTTCCTTCCAGTGACTAGTGATAAGAGTCTAAAGCACCCAGAGAGGGAGCTGATGTGAGCCAGGAGGAGGGAGGTTGGTGCGGGAAGACAAAGCTCCTTCAGCTGGGGAGGATCTGCGCGCCCTTCCTCCCTTCCAAACCGCGACTGTCCTGTAATTACGGAGCCACTCCATCTGCCAGGCAAATCACTGGCTTTCCATGAAATGATTACACTTGGGATGGCCTTGGACATGGTCACCTCGAAGCCTCAAAGCAGAGAGGTTTTTGTTCACTCTCGGCCTGGGGAGGACTGAGGAATCGGCCTCTCACATGGAGCGAACCCCACCCGCGATGGTGGTGAAAGGGTTCCCTGGGGGCGCGCATGAGAACCCTGGTTTTGGCAACAGTGTTTTGGGATGCAGAGCGGACATCCCAGATTCCCTGAGTTGAGACTTCCAGGGGCACAAAAAAAGGTTTTTTAAAAGTTTCTGTGTTCCCAGACGCTAGCTGCGCAGGGTGACTGCACCTCAGTTCCACCCGCGGGCTCCTCCGCCCGCTCAGCCTCCTTGGCGGCGGTGGAGCACAGGTCTCTGCGTCCCTGCAGGCGCCCGGGGGCACTGCGCGCGACGCGTGGGTCGCCGCCGTGTCCCTTCGCCGGACGCGCGCTGGCGGGGCCTCCGGGGCGGGGACAGCGCGGCTCCTCGTGCGGCGCGGCAGCTCCAACTGCGGGCGGCCTGGACTCGGGGGTGGCGGGGTCTCGGCCCCCGAGGGGCACGTGGTTCTGGCCGGCCGCGCCCGGGGGCCACAGCAGGTGCGCGGTGGCGCCGGTCCCCGGCCCGCCCCGGCCCGCCCCGTCCCGCCCCCGCCCGGGGCAGGGCCTGCAGGGCGGCCGGGCGGGCCGGCCGCGGTGGCCTGTGTCCGAGCGCGCGGCTGGCGGGCACCGGGCGCGATGCGCTGAGCGCCGAGCCGGCCGCATGGACCCTGCGCGCCCTGGGCGCGGCCTCCTGCTGCTCCTGGCGCTGCTGCCGGGAGCCGCGGCCGAGACCCCGCCGGACGCGCCGGGGCCCGGGGCCACCAGCGCCGACCCGCCCAGCCCTGCCAGCGTGGTGGCACCGGGGACCACGCCGCTTGAGGAGAGCAGGCTGCCTGTGTTCACGCTGGACTACCCACACGTGCAGATCCCCTTCGAAATCACACTGTGGATCCTGCTGGCCTCACTGGCCAAAATCGGTGAGCGGGCCGGGGGCGGGGGCCGGGGGCCGGGCGGCGGCTCCCGTAGGCGGCAGAGGATCCCTGAGAGGCTGGCTTCGTGCTCCGGTTCCGAATGGACCCCGGCTGGTGCGGCCCCGCGGGATTCGCCTGTCCCGCTGCGTAGACCGGCGAGTTTGACAGCTCTTGCAGAGCGCAGCCGGACCTGCTGGCCGGGAGGAAGTGGGCAGGCCCGGCCTGAGCGGATCAGTGTCGCCCACGGCACTGCGCCGGCCGGCACAGGGCTGATCTGGCCGCATCCCTGGATGCTGGGCACAGAGGGCGCTGGGCAGCCGCAGCCCCTGGTTGAGGAAGCGGTAGGAAGGGCCCATCAGGCCCGGTGCTGCCACTGTCGCTCTCCAGGAAGCCTTTGCTGCAGGGCGACTGCAGGCCAGCGGGACCATGCATATTTAAACGCAGTGGACCTGAACCTTCTTAACTCTGCGTGGGGAGCTGGGGAGCGGGGAGCGAAGGGCTCAGGACGTCTCTCCTCCTCCTCCTTACCCCGACTCTGGATCTCTGCGCTTTTGTATTTTGGTCATGGTGTTTTATTTTTAACCTTATATTTCAAGGACTTTAAAGAAATCTTTAACTATATTAATCCCTGCGGTAATGAGGCTGACAGAATGCTTGCTCCCCTTCCGTGTCCCGGGCTTTGGTCTTGTGAGATGAAGCAGGGTGCTGACTATGGTTGGGGGTGCCAGTTAGGAAGTAATCCTGACAATGGAAGTAATTCCACCAATGCCACAGGACGGTGTCCGGGAGGCTCTAGATTTTCAAGACTGTCTGGGTCTGCTGGGCTGGAGTGAGGGATGAGGAGCAGTGCTCTGGTCTGGAGGAAAGGACTGAGTACAGAGGCCTGGAAGTGGGTGCAGGGGAGGCCCCGAGAGGATGAAGCCAGCAGGGGCTGGGGTGGGGAGGGGTAGGGTGGGAGCCTCCAACACACCTTTGGTGTCAGCGTAAATTAATGAGATTTTGTTGGTAACCAGGGAGCCACATCCCATTTGATGACCTCGCAGGCTGTAATTGCCTGGCTTTGGCTCTGTGGGCTGAGCTGTGCCAGAGGGAGCCAGGCATGCCCATCCCCAGCTAGACTGATAAACTCCAGCCTCTGATAACGCACTCAGATGCCATTTTGGCACCTGATGCAAGTTTGAACCTTCTGGCTGCATGGGGGTGGAAGCCAAAAGCTCCAGGAAACCAATTGGGGTGACAGGGGCTCCCCCTGGGCCCCCGCTGTGTCTCAGCCTGGAGCCCTGAAGCTGTAGAGCACTTGTCCTCATCATGCTGTGGCCTGGCCTTTTCTTTTCTGGCTCTTTCCTCTGTTCTCCACTCCTGATTATTTTAATCAGATTAATTACACTAATGACAGCCGCTAGTGGGCACTTAAGTGCATTATCTGTAATTGTCACAGCCTCATCTTGGTGGCAGGGGAGCCTGTTTGGTAGAGCAGAAAGCTGCCACCTGGGGAAGGTGACTGCTGGGGGTGGGGAGCCAGAGTGACCCATCCCTGCTGGGTGGCATCTCTGTGCCGGTTCTGTTGGGACAGCTCTGGGGGACACAGGTGGCGAGCACCCCGCAACACTGCCCTCTCTGGATGCACATGATGTGGCGGTGGAGTGCAAGTGGCACAGTCCCGCTGCTCTTGCTGACACTCAGCTTCCTCTTGCAAAGCGTGGGCCGCCTCCTGTGCTTCTCTCCTTCTGTCTCCAGCTCTGTACTTGTCCTTTGCCTGCAGTGGCCCTGTGGCCCCTGCCATGTCTGGGATATGCCCTTCTCCTGACCTCATCTCTTTCCTCCTGTGGTGTTGCATTAAGAGGTGTCGGTGCCCGTGTGTGCACAAGCTCGAGGGTGATTTTCTGCCCTGCAGCAGTGTGCTGATCCTGGCACTGGATGCCCCAGGTCCGCTGCTTCCCGACGTGGCCCAGTTCCTGTCCTCCCAGGACTGACAGTGATGGCACATCGCACTTGCCTTCTGTCCTCCCTCGCCATCCACCTTCCCCTGAGTCGGCACTTCTCTGGCTACTATGTTATCTTTCCTTCTGGTATCTCAGCCAGCAGAGAGGTGACAATACCAATGTTTGTGTCTCCTGCCAGAGAGGGATGGTGCAGACTGCTGTGGAGGAGGGGAAGGCACACTTCCTGGGGGCAAAGTGCACCCTTAAGTTCATTCAGAGAGCCCTTGCCTGGGGTCTTTGCTGTGCTTTTTCCTCTCTTATTCCAGCCCTCTCCTGCCTTGTCAGCTGTATTCCTGAACAAACCTGAAACTGACCAGAAGTCTCCAGGCATCCTGTGACACCTGGGGCCCCAAACACTCTGCTTGGCTTGGGCACAACTGTGCTGTGCTGTGCTGTGGGACCCTGTCATAGCTCATAACAAAAGTCAGTTGCTCAAGTTCTGCTTTAATTTTGCATTGATAAAGCTTTTATTTGGGAGTAATCTACTTGTGTTCCACTGCTTGTATCTGAGGAGGAGGAGGGAGGAGAGGAGGGGGAAGGGAGAGGGGGGAGGAGGGGAAGGAGGGGGAGGAAAGGGAGGAGGGGGAGGAACTTCTCTGTGCAGGGGCATGTGAGGCAACCCGGTCCAGCACAGCTCTCACCGAATGCAGTGGCTTCTATTTAGGGTCCTTTAACGCCCTGTACCTGGTGTTCCTGAATTTACCTGCCCCAGAGAACACAGCGAAACATTAAAAAAGGACAGACACGTTGCACAAAGTGGTTGTACCTGCTAATGTGTGTAGGGGTTTTAAATGTCTGATGGCGACATGGTAATAGTTTTGTAGATTTCCATACATTATAACCTTAGAAATATTATAGTTATAAGTGAGAAAGGATTTCTGGAAAAGTATGAATTTTAGCTTTATAGGTACAGTATTATCTTACCTGGTTATCATGGAATATCGACTTCCTAATTATTGAGTTGGGGAGAAAAAACTGGTTGAGAACTTAGAAAGTTTCCTACAAGGATGATGACGATGGCATCTGTGTTGAGGAAGTCATTTAAGTAAATAAACAAACAAACAAACAAACGGAGTGCACCTTGGGTACCTGGGGATTAAACTCACAACCTTGGGCTTGCCAGGCTGGTGCTTATGCCACTGAACAAGATCCCTGGCCCGGTACCTTGGAGAAACTTTAATCAAGTTGGCCAGAGATGTTCCCTGGTCTGTTTGTCTCTTAGCTCCTCAGACATGGAGCTCTTATTCTTTCCCTGTGACTCTTCTTGTTTTGATTTTGCTTTTTGTAGTTATAAATACATACTTTGCCTGGTAAATCCTGCAGGCAGGAATGGAGTTCCACAGCTTGGACCAATGGGTAGCCAAAAGGTTAAACTGAGAAGATGCCTGGTGATTTTGAAGACTCCACTCTGAGGTCTTGGCCCAGGAAGTGGGCCGGGGGGTTCCTGTTGACCTGTGTTGATGTGTGCACCCTACCTCATAAAGTCACAGAAACTCACTTTTCACAACTAGGAACGTCACATTTATCACCTTTAACAGACAGCAGTATTTATTATTCATGAGATGCTCGATTCTTACTGAGTTTTTCACATCTCTTGAAACCTCAACAAATATATAAGTGACTTTTGATGTAAAATTGTCCCTTAGCTGAGTATTCTGTTGAACACCTGTAATTGTAGCATTGGGAAACTGAGGCAGGAGGAGGATGTCAGGCTCAGCCTGGGCAAATTTGTGAACTTAGTGAGACCCTGACTTGATTTTAAATTGGAGCAGATGCTAGGAATGCTCCTGAGTGCCCTGGATTCAAAGACAGTACTGCAAAAACAAAATTTCCTTTTCAGGTTGTGAAAACGCACCTGTAAAACCAAGTGAACTGGCTTTGCTATATGGATAGACTTTGATCAATGATTTTGTTTTCATGTTTACATTTCTATTTGGTTTACTTATGTCTACTGGGTCAAGTTAGTGAATTACTTTTTCAGGAAAATTGTTATTTCATTTGAAATTTTACATTTATTGGAAGACATTTTTTATTAAAGATCTCCATGTTATTTGCTTTCATGCGGTCTCTGCCGCATATTTTCATCATAATTTTATCTATAACATGCTCTATAACCAGGTAAGATAATACTGTACCTATAAAGTTAAAATTCATACTTTTCCAGAAATCCTTTCTCACTTATAACTATAATATTTCTAAGGTTATAATTCATTTTTAGTTGACTTCTTATTTATCAGCTTATTCTCCTACCTTTATGATTTACTTACTCCTACTTGCTTTGAGGTTGTTTATTTAATTATTGAATTGAAAGTTTAGCTCAGTATCGAATGTACTTTTTTTCCAGAGTCAACTCTTGTCTTTCATGGGTAATTACTCTTTGAAAAAGCACTAATAGTTAAAACATAATCAATATTATTTTTAATAGTTTGCATAGTATTATTGTACATTTATGAATCTCTGAGGTCCAAGATTGATAGGCACTTATGTTAAAATTATATCATTTTATTAAAATGGACAAAATTATTTCATTAGTTTACTTCACTGTTATAACTCCAGGAAGCCAGTTTACCATCTTCAATGTCTTCAAAATACAAGTAATTGTTGCACTAATTAAATTCAAACCCACTTTCTGCTGTATATACTTAAAATTGAGTAAAAAGGTAGGCATATTCATGATACTCAAAGTTTATGTAAATTACTATTTAGTGGAAACAGTAATAATAATAACACTAGTAGAGAAAAATGACTTCAGTGAAGTGATGCAAAGGAAGTAACATTTGCCAAATAAATTGCTGAATACTGTTTTTGCTATAAATAGCAAAACAATGGTGTTTTGAGAAAGCTTAATACAAAGTATCAGTGATAAAGCTGGAAAGATAACTGATTGATGGGTTCAGCTCAGGGTGTTCAGCTACCAAATTGAAGTCCATAAAATCTTCATGAGATCATGAAATAAAACAAGATTATTAAGGGTAATTTTTCTTAAAGGTAACTTAATGAGTATTTCCTGGAAGAGGAGCAATA